TATATATTATAAATCCAAATAGGATGTTTTAAGTACATACTATCTAGAGCATTTACTAATATTCCACTCAACACCTTACATCAGCGCATTATAATTATTCAATTGCTTATTCACAATTAAATTTAAAAAATAACTGAAGTTAACCCACAATACTTGAAAATAAATAGTTGTAAATTTTAAAAAGCTTAAAAAGAGTCTTTCACTAGTTGACCTCACTAAAGCTTTCTGCATACTTCAAACTTGTTTATTCTCTCAGTAAATATTTATTAATAATTCTTTGGTTTTCATATTGAAGTTACAGTTTTGGGGAAATAAAGAACTTTTAATCTAGGCCAGACTCAGAGATTAAGCAAAGAAATCAATTATTTAGGCAAAGAATAAGACAAGAACACATTAATAAACGAAAGGGAGTGCTTCTTTATCTTCAGTGGTTAGGAAGCACCTTTCTGAGGAGGATGTATTTGACTTGGATCTGAATAGAAGAAGGTGTCTAGTAGTTGTTTCCTACAGAAGGGGAAATGGCGCTCAATTAAAACAAAACAGTATGCAGATAAGAATTGTTAAAGGATATATTTAGAGTATGGGGAAAACACAATGAATTCCCTGGTTCTATGATTTAATGCTATTTTTTTCCCTTTCTGTGTGTGTGTGTGTGTGTGTGTGTGTGTGTGTATACCCTAACCCTCAAGGTATACTTTTGGTTGGAGAAACAACTTCACTTATGTGTTTATGTTAGAAAGAGTGACAGATATGCTTATTATCCTTGTTTAGATGATGTACGACGACCAGATATGAAGGCTTTCAATATGGAGGGAGAAATTCTACTGTCATTTTATGTTCTCAAAGACACTCCCAATATTTTCCCTAATTATGTTATATGTAGGATTTGCTACATCCATTCAATTGAAAGCTTAGAGCATTCTTGGTATTGACATTTGATAGACGATGTTTTGATTTCTACTAGTACTTCATAAAATTGTGTGTTTATGTGTGTGTACATGTCATTAATAAGGACTTATAAAGTTTTGAACACAAGCACCATATCTATTCAAGAATCTCCATCACCTCTCATTTTTTTATTTATTAAATTTATTGGTACATTTTAGATACACTTGTCTCTAGTGTTTGAAGTTCATCACCTCTCAAGTGTTTTTCTCATTGGCAAGTTTAGTTTGAAATTTGTCTCATATATTATTAGAAAATCTGTTTTTTAAAAAGCAAATAACTCATTTCACTCTTGGAGTAACACAGAACAAGTGTGCTTTTTCTCTTAATGAAATTTCAAATAAATGAATGCAATTCAATTTCTATATTATTCCTTTATTAGCTAAATATATCTCAATCCCTTTGAGTCTCACAGCAATTGGCCTGTCTTTTACTGAAGAGAATATTTTCCTAGATCCTAGACACTCTGTACTTGACTTCCTAGAATTATCCTTTTTAGTAACTGTAAATCCTATGGCTGATTCACATTATTATTCACAGCTCTCAATCACTTAATTGCTTTCTCAAAGAAATTTATTGCTTTTCCATATAAAATATGATTTTTGACCTGTAGAAAGCTCTGACCTTCTTAAGTATTCTGTTTCACCTGCTATAAAGTATTCCTTAATTCCTTTTATTTTGTTCAATGTTACCATCTTCTAATACATTCACAAACTCTACCAACTTGAGAGTCTTGGCAGAGATGTCTTATCAATGGGTTCTCTAAAGATGTAAAAGTAATGGTCCCTAGAAAAATGTGCTTCAACTGTGTTTCAGTGAGTGAAATCTCACTGGATGGGGATGGTTTCTGTAGGATGGCTTTAAAGGGAAAGTTAATGGTTCCACTGTCAGTAGGCATAAATACTTTATCCAGAAGACAATGATGTACTATGAGTAGGTTAAATCACTGGTTTATGAACTGAGCTTGGAAGACTCCCTTAGAGTTCCTTGCAGTTAAGCACACAACCATGATGGAGGATGTGGGTACCAGTGGCAACACCTACCTCAACTGAGGCTATTCTTATCCTTTTTTAAAAAATTCACTTTTGTTGCAAGTACTAGTTGAAAAGATGCTAAAATTATTTCAAAAGCCATTGGAAAGTTTCAAAAACTTTCCTTACAAATAATGAAATATTTTCATTAGTCTTTTTGTTAAAACTAAGGTCCTTTGTGACATTGGAATTTTATGTATAACAATGAATAAAGATGCCACCTACAAGGGCTAATGACACTAAATGAAGAAGTGAGAATTAGGAATAGGTAAACCCAGGAACTGCTAGGATCCTGCTGCCATGCAAATGTCCTTGATAATGAAGAAAGGGGAATGAAATTACAGTTCACATGGCTGTATAGAAACAGCATTGTTCATATAGAGAATGCTTTCTAAAGGTCCCCCAAGGCTGTGCAGCTCTTTAAATCAGCAAGCCCTTTTTATTTTCAATCACAAAGTGGAAAAAAGCAACTCCTTTTCACTTTTTCTCTTTCAAGAAATACAAGCTATAAGTATTGTTGAGTCACCTAATCTCTCATTAAAGAGGGAAATGCCATCCCTTTGT